ACACACACACACACACACACACACACACACACACACACACACACACAGGCAAGCAGATCTTTATGAGTTCAAGGCCAGGCTGATCTATATAGGGCATTCCAGGCCAGCCTGGGTTACGTAGTGAGATCCTGTCTCAGAAAGAAAGGGAGGAGGGAGATTTCATTGCTTTGCAATATTAATATTAAAACTACCTTTATCTTTGAAACTGGAGTGGGGTTACACAAGGTCAGCCTCTTGTGAGACAGCTTCTGAAGTCGAGGCTGGGTTTCTCTCTCTTTTATTTCTAACATTTTAGGGTTTTTTTTTTTTTTTTTTTGAGATGGGAGTCTCACTTTAATCAGATTCCCTCAATGGCAGATGGCTTTCCTTCTCTGTGTGTAAGAACCCACCTCTGTCTTCTGGGTGTATGGTTAGAATGAGCTCCGAGTGTTTGGGGTTGCAGGGACCTCACGGGGGCAGGGCCAGGGTGGTGGTGGCATGGAGCAGGCAACAGCCAGCAGTGTTTGGGTTTTATGATGTTTGTAGGAAGTCCTACCCATGCAGAAGGTGACAAGACTGTTAAGAGGGGTCATCTGGGGAAATTGATTTCCTGGTCACTAGAAGAACCCTGAAGACAGCTTTGTCCCCAAGTTAACCCCAGCCTACTCCTGTTTAAGTTTGACTGGATGCTGCTGGCTTATTGTTTGGAATCATTCATGTTTATGCAGCTAGGCAGCTAGGTAGGCTGAGCAGGCAAAACACAGGCCATGGGCATCTAACATGAACTCTGCTCTGCCTCTGTTTTCCCTCAAGACAAGGTTTCTTTTGTGTAGCCCTGGCTGTCCCGGGACTCTCTGTCGACCAGGGAGGCCTATGTGACTTCTTTACAAACCAGTTTGCCAGTTCTTATCTAAGATGATGATGGCTGCTACTTCTTCCTCTTCCTCCTCTTTAGCCTTCTCTTCCTTTTATATAGGGTCTAATGTAGCTCAGGCTCTCTCTGAAGTCACCACATACCCAAAGGTGTCCTTGAACTGGTCCCCTGCCTCTCTACCTTTCTAGTGCTGGGATTCCAGCCCCATATCATTGTATCCAGGTGCTGGGGGTGGGCCCAGGGCTTTGTGTGACAGTCCCAGAATGCTCCTCCTACCTGTTAGTTTTGTTTTGCTTTTTTTTTTTTTTTTTGTGCCAGGGATAGAGTTCAGCTCTCTCAGGTGCTGGCCAACTGCTCTCCCACTGAGCCGCATCCCAAGTACTGGTGTTTTGTTGCATTTCTAGTCTTAACTGTGTATCCCAGGCTGGCTTTGAATCAAAATCTTCCTGCCTCTGTCTTTCTAGTGACAGGATCTCAGGTGTTTACCACCATGCCTGGTTGTACCTCATTTCACATGTCATTTGTACTTGGGTGGCATACTTAGGATACTGGTTTTGGGTTTGGGCCCCCATCTAAAGTTTCCAGGGTGGCCCTGTATCAAGAGAATTATTTTTGCAAAGACCTTTTTTGAGTCAGGGTCTCATATATCCAAGGCTGGCCTCCAACTCCTTCAGGTAGTCAAAAATGACCTTGAACTCCTGATTCTCCTGCCTGTGTCTCCTGAGTGCTGGAATTACAAGCTTGTACATCTGGTATTGAGAATCAAACTCTGAGCTTTGTGCATGCAGGGACATATTCTTCCAGATGGCCTTTAGCTCCACCCCCAGCCCATCAAAGGCCCTTAAGGGGGTTCCAGCGCGAGTGCATGAACCCATGTTCTTGGCTGCACCCAACCTCGTTCCACAGCTGGTGACCTGTTCCTTGTGTCTCTCTTCCCAGATGCATCGCTGGCTGCTGCTTCATCCCATTCTGTGTAGACGCCTTGCAGGACGTGGACCATTACTGCCCCAACTGCAAAGCTCTCCTGGGCACCTACAAGCGTTTGTAGGACTCGGCCAGCCAGCCACCAGGGAGGTAGTAGACAAGTACTACCGGAAGTCACCTGACCCTTGCCCAGCACAGCCAGAAGAGGTCCTTCCTTGATCTCATCTCTTCATGGGCTCCATCTTCATGTCTTTTAGGGGGTGGGAAAGGTCGGAAAAGTAACAAACTTCCCAGAAACTGCTGCTGGAGCTGTGCCCTGCACATGCGAAGACGTGGACCTTGGGTGTTGTTTCAAGGGTTTACCTCCTGCTCACGTTACCCCACTAACTGATGGTTACCCCATTTGCATCCCCTCCGATGATTTACCATTGGCTGCCTCCTCTTCCTCAGTGGGCCTTCCTGGTGCCAATCTCAAACCCCAAAGCCACAGTTTGCCTTATTTCTCACTGTTTGGCTTGATCTGTTCCGTCTCTTCCCATCCCTAATGACTGAGACTTCGCCTTAAAGACGTTGCAGTTCTGTAATTGCAGACTTCTCCGGCACTCAGAATCATTTTAATTTCATAAGTTTTTTTTTTCCAAGTGCACAGAAGGGCTGCTGACACCCACCAGTCACATACAGATAAGGTCACTAGTACTAAATAAAAGGCTCGAAGCCTGTCCTGTCTCAGTCCCTGTCCTGTGAAGGGGCTTCTTCCTCACACAGTTTCCAGGAACTCCCTTTGTTCTTAAACACATATGGAAGTTACTTGGCAGGGAGACATTTCTAGAATAATTTTTGTAATCATGATACAACCTTCATTTCTCCATTTGCTGATGTGTTTTTAGTTGGTTTTGTTTTAGTTTTTCACATACAGTCCAGCTTGTTGCCTAGGCCAGCCTTGAACTCCGAGGCAATCCTGTCTTTGCCTCTCAAATACCCAGGGCTTTCCACATGTGCCTCTGCATCTACTGGGCTTTTTGTTCTGTTTTGCTTTGACAGAAAAACAAACAGGTAATTTCATCGACTGCCTATGTAGGTTTGGTGTTGTTTAGAAAACCTTGTCTCCATGGGGCTTCTTTGGGGGAGTCAGGGGACCCCTATTTGAGCCCATGCTTCATGCCGAGAGATTGGCTGCTGGAGCTCCCTGAAACCTGATTTCATTTTTTAGAGATGAGCCTGTGTGGTACAGCCATCATGGTCTCCAACATCAACAGACCAGGAAGAAGGATGCCAAAGACAAGTTCAGGGTTCTTTCTAGGGTGAGCACTCTGTCATGTATAATACTGACACAGTCTGGCCAGCTTCTCAGGAGGCCCTGACCCATCCTAAGCCTACACAAGATCTGCTGCAAATATCAGTGTATGAAGTCAACCTGACCTGGAACAGAAGTCTGCATATTGGTTAAGATACAGCCTAGCCATTGACCAAGCTGGTCATACGATGATCCAGAAGTACTAGCCATCATTTTTGCAGTGAATTATGGGTACCATACATGACTTTGATGATATCTGCTTTTAAACAAATAAAATCTTTGATCATTCAGTGAACGATTCAGTTCACCTGTTATGAAGAAAGGCCTCGTGTTGTGTTTCCAGGCGTTACCCAAAGAATCTTAAATTGCTCTGTTACATTAGAAAATCCTTCGAGACCCACACCTCAGGCTTCAACCGTAGCAAGATGACCGTTGCTAAAGAGTTGCATTAGAAGGTTTGGCTGTCGGGGGCCCATAGTCGTCATTGATGGCAGCAAGCCATGGCTTTCAAGCTTTAATAAAACGCCAAGAAGAAAGCTGTCCTCATTCATTCTCTGAACAAAACCCCCTTGTTCATTGGCCCGGCGTGACTATGAGATGCTAGGAGAGGGGGTGCCAAGCCCGAAGCGTGGCTGCCACCCCTTTCTCCTACCTGTGGTGACAGCTTCAAGTTGAAAGGTGTGGGGGAATCAAGTCATTTAGTTGTGGTTTATATTGCACTGAAACCCTTATTTGTGTTCTTGTGAAATCGCTGCTCGTGGGGTCTCCACTGTGTGGCTTCTCTTTTATTTGGTCAAGTTTAAGGCTGTGCAGTTAGAAGTTTGGCTGTCATTGTGATGTGTAACTGATCTCAAGCTGGTATTCATTACACATGCAGAGTCTTCTAAACAAAGGCCCTGTGTCAGGACTTCAAGATATATATTACATGGAGTTAAATGCCAGATGGCCATGTGCTTTTGTGAATTTAGATTCCTGCTACTGTTTCTTGGAGGTAGACGAGTAAGTTAAGCTAGCTGACCCCTCAGGTCCACAGATCTACCTAGGCAGACTCTGCTATCTGGCTAACAGTCAGCGTACGTCCTAGGTTTCCTCCTACCACACCCCAAACAGGATGGAGGTTGTGTGGGGACTCTATAGAGACTCTCGGTTTGAACATGGCTGGCCTTGGTGCCCAATTCCCCAATACATGGAGGGGTGGATGTTTCCTGCTGAGCCTGTTGGTAGAGAAGCTGGAAGGGCAATACAGGATGCCACACGGGAAGTGACTAGCCTTCAGTACCTTTCTGCTCTTGGACCACCACTTTTGACTTGCAGTATGTGGTAGGTGTGAAAGCTTCTTTCTCTGGGTCTCCTCACCTGACTGCCATTTCCTCACTCCTTCTTGCCTGTTCTTTACTACTAGGGATGGAACCCATGGCCTCTCTCACCCTAGGTACAGGACTAGGTCAAAAACCTGCCTTCCTAGGGAGTTCAGCTACAGGCCATTCTTATTGAGTTTGACTGTGTGCCTAAAGACCCCACGGAGGGATAGAGGGGTCACGGGACCTTCACCTGATTCCAGGCACTCCCTGTCTGCATGTAGCCTCTGGAAGGCCTGGAGAGCCAAGAAGACTAGGGGAGAGACATCTCCAGTGTGGCTGTGGGGAAAACCTCACTCCTGCTTGGTAATGACTTTCCTTTGCAACTTTATGGAAGAGGAGAATCACATCCTTGCAACAAACCCCTTACCTATGTTCTATAAGGAGTCCCAGTAAACTCATTCATGCCCTGAATGAACTTGGGTAGAACTTGGCCTGGATTTGTCATTTCAACCTTGGGAGGAGAGAGGTAGAATTTGTTTACATCCTTAGGAATTTTAGTAACATTGTGACATCTCAAGCCCTTGATTTGGCCATTTATTTGGCCATTGGTTTTTCTGTTCTGTTTTGGTTTGGAACCAGGTCAGGGTACACAGTTCAGGCAGACAGGGAGATCTAGAGATGACTTCACTCTACCTCCCCTCTCCCAACCCCAGCTCTGGGATGAAAGGCACTACCACTCTTAAAGACTTAAGAATGCAGAAGAAGGCACATGGAAGGACTACTGGGGGCAGGGGAACTTGAGGCTGCCTTCCTAGGCTGTAATTTGCATTTTGTGTTCGTGTCTGAAATTAAACAGTAAGAAGAATGCTTGTCCCGTGCCAAATGGGAGGTGGTGGCTGGGGATCGGCCTTCCTTCCATAGGCTTTAGTCTAAGTCAGACAAGAATGTGCATCTGGCTGAGGGGTCTTTTGTGTGTCTTCTTGGGTGTGTGCTTGTAGGGGTTTGGGTGTGGCTGGAGTGGGGGCCTGTTATATAAGCTTTTCTAAAATGGTAGTGTAGCCCTGTGATTCGGGAGCTTGGTGTGTGTGTGTGTTTGTGTGTGTGTGTGTGTGTGTGTGTGTGTGTGAGAGAGAGAGAGAGAGAGAGAGAGAGAGAGAGAGAGAGAGAGAGAGATGTCTGATGACAGTGACATGGCCAGCTGACCAGCTGCCAGCCTAGGATCAGCTGTTTGTGGCCACTGGAGCATAATGACAGGGTGCGTCCCGTGTCACTGTGTGGTTGATTTGGTTCTTTCTGCTGCTGTTCTAAGTTTGTGCTCTCTTGTTTTGTGCACAGCTTGCCCTGTGCCTGGCAGCAGTGAGTCAATGCAGGCCTCCACCTAAGACAGTTGTGAGTGTGTTTGTGTGTGTCTTTCTGTCTCTATGTAGAGGACAGAACAGAAATGTCTGCTCAGAGTCTGAAGTCCAAGCCCCTTGAGAGAAGCTGCTACGATCCCTTGCTGACATGGGCACTGAAGGATGCCCAAGCACGATTCTGCCTGGCTTTCCCTACTTTCAGCCCTTCAGTCTTGCCTGGAGTCCCAGCCAGGGCAAGACAGTGGGAAAGTCTCAGCTGGGCCATGTGAATGTCTTGGCAAGCATTTGTACATGGAGCCTGGGGCCAAACCCCTCTAGCGACCTGACCAGTGTAGGCTGGCTATCACAGAAACACTTTCATTGTATTGTTTTGATAATTAGAAGAGGAAATGCCTAGATACACAGTAACTAGCCTTCCTCCTTTAACAGCCAAGGAGCTGAGCTATCTCTCCAGCCCAATATGATGATAACATACTGACTTGGGCTTGGGCTTCACAGCAGACAATTCAGACGATCTCCTGAAGAATTAGGTCAGTTACGCCCCCCTTTTTGTCCGTGAACTTTTATGTGGCTATGTAGCCAAGAATGACCTTGAATTTCTGTTCTTCCTGCCCCACCTCCCTAGTGCTAGGATACAAGCAAGCACCAGTTGCCAGGTTTATGTATGCTAGAGATGGAACCAGAACCCCAAACATGCTAGCAAAATACTCTGCCACTGAACTGATGTCCAACTTCTATGGTTGACTGCTGTCTGGCCTGGGATAGTCTTCACAAGGGATGGAGCATTCTGTAAGCCCTGAGTGAGTATGTGCCATGTTCCAGGACACAGCCTTGAACATGAGAGGCTTTTGTGCCTGACAGCCTCAGTTCCGTATCTTGGACCCATATGGTAGAAGGAGGGCTTAACTCCAACAAGTTGTCCTCTGAGCTCCACACATGCACCACGGCACAAACTCACAAATACAATAACTAAACGTAATAAAAAAGGTGTCCAAAAATAACACCATCATGTCCCCCTACTTCTTTACGATGACAGTCTTGCTTGTAAATGCTCACTGAGATGCCTTCACTCCTGCCAAGAACCCGGAAAGAAAGGCAGCCTTCGGTGACACAAATAAAGCAAGGGGGCTTGTGGAGGCTGTGCATGCTGGGTAGCAATGTCAGAACTGTTCACAGCAGAGGGACTTCGGGTCTAAAATTCACCCAGGGCTGGTTAGAATACATTGTGGCACTGGTCACGTCCTTCTGTGTTGTTGGAGGTGGGGGCTGTGAGCTGTAGGATGTTCGGCGGCCTCCTTGGCCTCCACCCAATAGTCTCACACCAGCTGTGGTTAAAACACACACACACACACACACACACACATACACACACACACACACACACTCTACCGTCATTACTCTCAGTGTCTACTAGGCACAAAAATCATTGTAGAGCCCCAGCAAAGTGCAGAGCCCACAGCCGGTCTTCTCACATTTAGGATTTGTATCCCTGGCTGGCCTGAGCTTATGGTTAAACACATGTTAAGTCCTAAACAGGAAAAAAAAAGTGCCCACACCCCATGGTGTGGCTGAACCTCAAAAGTATGGAGCAAAGAGAAAGCAGATGTGAGAGGCCGTATGCCTAAGACAACCTGAAGTGCACAGAACTGATCTGAGGATGGAGCTCAGGCGGTGGGAGCTTACCCAGCATATGCAAAGCCCTGGGTTTCAGTCTTAGCATCACACCTGTAGACAGAGCACTTGGGAGGAAAGACGATCATAAGTTCAAGGCTGTCCTTAGCCATGTAGAAAATAGGGAGTTGTCGTGGGCCACATGAAACCCTGTCTTGGGCCACATGAAACCCTGTCTTGGGCCACATGAAACCCTGTTGTGGGCCACATGAAACCCTGTCGTGGGCCACATGAAACCCTGTCAAAAGGGAAGGGAGGGAAGGGAGGGAGGGAAGGAAGTGTCGACAGCCGCCTACTAGAGCTTTGAGGTAAGAATTCTTGTTTTTGTGGGAATGGAGTTCATCTTTACAGAGATTGATTTTAATTCACACTCCACGTAATTCACCTGAAGTGTGTGGTGCATTTTGGTTATGTTTTTTGAGACAGGGTCTCATGTAGCTCAGGCTGCTCCCAAATTCCTGATTCTTCTACTGCCTTCTAAGTGCTGGAATGATAGGTGTGAGCCACCAAGCCTCTCAACACAATGCATGATTTTGAGTATATTTGCAATGTTGTTAGTATTTTATCCCCCCAGAAAGGAACTTTGAACCCTTGAGTCATGTGTGACTGTAGGGTTGTGGGTCCCAAGTCTGCTCCACCCTGGGGCTCAGCCACTTGGGGAGACAGGACATGGGAAGCTGACTGCACTTATCCCACATTGTCGCACTGCTCAGGGGGTAGGGAAGTGCAGTCTGAAGTACAGGACAGCCAGAGCTGGCTCAGGGGTCCCTGGGCCTTCGAGGAGGCGGTGGGGGGCATTTGGTTCTCAGGCTCTTGCGCACCCAGGCTCCCCTGGGAGCCTTGGAAGAGCTGAGAACAGAGTGGGGACCCAATGGCTGGATCTAGCCTGAGGCTGGGGGGAAAGGGGGAATGTTCCGACTAGTCCCACACAGGGAGAGTCTCTTCTGGTTTGAGCTTGGTGGT